TCTTGACCTGCCAGCCAGTCCCTTTTCTGAAAGTGTTAGCAGGTACAAAGAGGCTCCAGGGCCTTGTGTGCATTCTGGGAAGCTTGCAGGCCTGCTCCCCAGGCCCCTGGAGGAGGCTGAGGTGTTAGGAAGGTAAAGGTGTGGAGCTGGGGAAGGAAAGGTGGGTCCCCGTGGGGGCTCTGCTCTGAAGGCTGAGAACAAGGACCCTGAGAACAAGGGAAATAATGGGGACCAGACCCCACCTCCACAGCAGCCCTGAGTCATCTCTGGCCCTCAACCTGGCCCTGAGGATAGGGGAGTGGGGGCGACCGTGCACCGGGAAGGAGAAGCCTAGGTAGGGACATTTTCTTTACCAACTTGAAGCATGGCTTGTGGAGAGGGGGTGGGCAGATTTTCTCTGTATCTTTCCCATCTTGACCCATGTAAATGTGTTATTAGTCCAGAAAATATAGACATTTAAATTAAGAAAAGAATGTGCTTGATCCTTCTGTACTGAAACATAATGATCTTCAAGTAAACAAAGCTAGTCGGATGTAGAGAAAATGAAAGTTCCTGTGGCCGGGATTCTCACCTGACACTGGTCCTCTTGCTTTCTGCACACATGTGGGCAATACGTTATTACTGACTCTATATAAAGAGCTCTGCCCAGTGCTCTGGGCTGCTGCACGGCTGCAGGAGAGCAGAAGCTGGAGTGGTGGCAGTGCCGGGACAGAGAGGCCCAGAGGCAGAGACCAGCTTGCTGCATGCAGACTTGCTCTGGGTGGACGGGATTCCAGTGATTGACCTGCCGCCATCGGAATAAAGCTGGGTATGTACCCTTCAGCCCAATAACATTCCATTGTCATTTCTCAGTCTCACCGAATCAAGAGTGAACTTGCCTGGGGCTGAAACCCCCTGGCAAGACCTGGAGAACAGCTGGTACAAACCACCCTAAGCTATCAACGGTGGTTATCACTGGGTGGGTTATCACTGGATGACGGGACTCTTTTTTTCTTTTTCACTCTAGTCCTGTAATGTTTGAGCACTTTTACAATGAAGATATATTTGTGAATTGCTTGAGTAATTTTTTTAAACACTAAAATTTTTAAAAATGGACATTGATGGTGTTTAAAATCAAAATTCCCTCTGCCCCCAAAAATAAGAATGGATGAAAGGGTGAGTGGATGAATATAAAACATTTGCTTCTTATAACTGCTTCTTATAACTATCACCCTATTAGTCCTAACTCTGCGTGTGCATGACCACACAGACCACCACCACCAGAGGTTAAAGGGCGGGAAATTCCCAGCACCGTCTCCTCCTGCCTTTCCACACCCACAGCAGACAGTACTTGTTGCTAACAAACTAGTGCTGCTGGTCCAGAGAGCACGCTTTGTGAACCACTGAGTCGAGCATGACATTCTGCTGCCCCTCTTGCTGGGTGGTGGGTATAAAAGCTAGAGGGAACTCACCGGAAGCACAGGTGCCTCTCAGGTGGGAACCAGCCATATGCTGCCTTGATCTTCCTGGAGTGGAGCTGAGAGCCGAGCACGGGCCAGGCTTTAGGCTGGCTGAGCCTGCAGGCCCTCCGTTGTGAGAAGGTGGGGAGGGTGGAGGGGTGCTGTGGGAAGCCCCTGGACTAGGTGGTTCCAGTCCTGCTGCCACTATTTATATGAGCCCTTCAACCTGCTTACCCATCTCTATAATGGCCCTAACTCATGAGGTGCTATGTACATGATTCTGTAACAGCTATTTTCTGATTTATTTCCTTTCACAGCTTTCCAAGAATGGGTCTTACCAGGCAGAGAACCATTTGTTTTTTGGGTGTTGTTAATGAGTTTGGGGCATGAAAACTGGGAGGCAAGGATTTGAATGGAGTTGAAGAGGATTCGGATATGTTTGTGAAAAAATCTGAGTGGGAGGACCCCGGAGTCCATGAGCTGAGGTCACTTGGGGAGAAATAGAAAAGGAAAAAGCCCTGTCCCCTGCCCCAGCCAACCAGTCTGATGGCATGGTGTGGAGGAAGGGCACCTGGACAACAGAAATGGCCGCAGAGAATGTGTCAGTCATTTAAGAGGTGTGTAATGTGCACTCCTTTTCCATCCTCCTAATGCAATCTTCAGTAAAATTGACATTGCTTTGTGGAATTTTCTGTGAGTGGTTCCTTAGAAAACTCAGAGGTGATGAATTCTGCATTTGCTGCTGAACATCCCAGAGACAACTCCACAGACCTGGAGCTGAAGAAAGGACACAGGTGACCCTGGGTTTCTTGAGTCCAAAGCAAATAATTCTTGCCTGACTCCAATATCCTGGCCCTCCATATACCCAGATTCCCAGCACCGGTGTCCCTGCCACCAGTTACAAGAGGATTTAATTTGTTTAAAATTTAAATAATTAATTAGTTAATTTAAAGCTCTCAATGGCTTTGTAATAGATAGGAAAAAAATAAGTATTTTTCTGAATCAAGGGGACTGGAGGCCGTCTCCTGGAAAGAGGAGTGAGGATGGAACAGAAGCAGTCAACTGCCTGCAGGAAAGATAAGTAACTTCACAGCCCCCAGGTGAGTTTCGTGAACAGACTCCCACACGCCCAGGCCGAGGTAGAGGAACCTGAGAGGAAGCACCCACGGCTGTGCCCAGAGGGGCCAGCCAAGAGCCGGGACTTGGTAGAGGAGGCAGGAAGAGGAGAGAAGACAGCTGACGAGGCTTCTGCTTCTGTATTTGAGCACTGATCACTCCAGTGTGACTTTGCTTCCATTAGCTGCCCAGGCGATCTGGGGGAACCCTGACTCCCAGCTCTGATGGATCACCGGGGGGAGACAGCCGCTCCTAGGAGACTGGTACAGACAGAAAACCTGGCAACAGCACAGCCTGGAAAAACCAGATTAAACAAACCCAAGAAGAGCATCTGGAGAGGAAAGGCGGCACTGAGATTGTCAAAGGCACGCCCGCTCCCCTGCCTTGGTGATGGTAGGATGGTGCACTGGGGGTCGTATGGGGACCTCGGTCCTTCCTCACTCCACATCCTCTCCACTGTCTCTTCGTCCCTTGTTGGCTATCAGCTGTGCCCTCAGAGTGAAGGGGCCTCAGCTCCCCCTTGCAGGGGACAGCTCTGGGGCTGTCCATGGTTACCAGGCAGCCCCTTCCGTGGCTGCCACACCCAGGGTGGCTGCAGAGACAGCAGCTGATGGTAAGAGGAGCAGCGCAGCCACAGGAGGCCAACAGGACTTGTGATTTCCTATTCAGTTAGGCCAAAGCTGATAAGATGCCAGCCCACAGTGGCCACATTGCCCAGCTGCCTCTGAGTCCTGAACCTGCAGGGGCTGAGGTCTTGGTCCTTCCTCCTATCCTGCACTTAGTTCCCTCCTTCACTCATTCATTTGTTTTATTTAATAAGCCAAACATTCTCTTAATATTCTTTTATCTTGTGAAGGACAGAATAATGAAAAAGATCTAGCCTCTGCTTTCCTAGAACTTATTCGGGGAGGGGAAAGGGATGAAGCAAATAAGAGACCAAAGGACTCAAATATAAAAGATGCAAGATAGGATGGAATACCAATCACATGAGGGGGACAGAAAAGCAGATAAGGCAGGGGGGCTTAGCCATAGCGCAAATGATTCAAAAAATTTTTTTTTCAAATAGACTTTTCTGTGAAAGGAGGAGGTAGAACAGAACCCATTCAAGCTCTTGCAGAGAAAGATCAGTGACTTCTCCTTTGGTTGCAAAGGAGAAACCCAGCTGACAGAAACCCAACTGAAACTGTCCTAATCAAAAAGAGGGGAGGGATGTATTAGATCACAGAGTTGGACGGTTAAGGGTGTGTCTAGGCATCAGGGTTTCACGCAGAGCTGAATCCAGGCATTCAAACAAGGCTGTCAGCAATCTGTCTCTCTCTAGAGCCATTTGCCCATTAGGCCAAATCAGATGAGAGCAGAGAGCTTTCTAAAGTTCTAGAAATGTGTTGAGATTCCCCCAAATCTTGCTTGACTCCACAATGTGAGGAAAAGAAAAACAGGACAAACTAGCAGACATGCCACCTTGGAGGTGATCCTCTCCCTGGTGCTGTTTGCTCCTAACTGCCAAGGTCAGCAGACACTTTTCTGTTCTCTTCAGCTGTGTCCTCGCTACAAATGTTGACACAGTGCAAATCTTTGACATCCTTGACACTTTCTCTTCCCCCAGCTTCCACGGATTTCCACTTTTTCTCCTGCCTCTCTGACTTGTTTTTTGGCTCTTCTCTGAAAGAAGGAAAAGGGGGGCACTGGGAGAAGAGCTGGGCAGAGAATCTCACAGCACATGCAAAGGCAGTGGGGAAAGACAGCCTGAATAATTAAGGAGCACCAGCCACTCAGAACTTCTGGGAGGAGCCAGAGTGCGGGAACAAACCCCTGAAGGGCCAGATCAAGAAGAGCCTTACAAGCCACACTAAGGCGTTTGGCCATTCTCTTGAAGGTAATAGGGAGCCATTGAAGGTTTAACAGGGGAGACCAGATTTGTGTTTCACTATCAGAAGGAGGCCATTGGCTGTGAGGTGGAGGCAGGATCAGAGGGAAAAATCAGGCTGTTGCAGTAATTCAGGAGAAAGACAATAGTGACCTGAGGAAGAAGTGACAGCCGTGGGGATGGAAAAAAGAAGACAATTCAGGAGATAGTGATGGGACTTGGTGCAGTTTAGATGTAACAGGTGAGGAAGAGGGAGGTGTTAAGGATGACACACCCAAGTTTCTGATTCTGAGGTGAGGAGTAGAAAAGTGGGTTTAAGGGGGAAATGATGAGCTTGGTTCGTACACACTGAGGTGCTTGACGGCCATCTGGCTGACCATGTCCAGGGTTGGGGGGGGTTAGTGTGTCTGGAATTCGGGACAGAGGTTGGGGCTCCCTGTGACACTGGCCAAAGTAAAGACTGTGGGAACCACACATGCTTCTCTAGAAAGCAGCTTCAGAGCAGGATGTGTTCTGGGAGGAGCTTTGAGGGCCATGGGGAAGGGGAAGGAAGAGGAGGGGACAGAGCTGGGCTATGTGACACGGGGCTCTGGTCTGCAGATCTATAAACTGCAGCTGGGACTAAAGACACCCATTGGGGCTCCTCCAGGACATCGGGCACTCTGGGGCGGGCAGCCTCCATGGGCAACGCGGCGGGGAGCTAATCGGTGGACAGACTTGTGGGGCTGGGCTGCGGCTGAGCCAAGGTAGGTGCTGGCCCATACAGGTCTGCAGGGAGGGAGCAGGGACAGGCTAATCTGGGCAGAGCGATGGAGGGGGTGGGGGAGGGATGCTGCCAGGGAGCTGACACCCCTGGCTCTTAGGGAGTCAAGGCCCAGCCTTTCTGAGGAGCGTTACCAGGACCACTCTGCAGAGTTAGGATGGGTCAGCCCACAGGAAGCAAGACCACAGGACCCTGTGAGAAGACCCCTCCTTTCTTCTCCAAATCCTGTAAATGGCAATAACTATGGGCCTCACTGTACATGCCCAGGCCTATAGAGTGGATTCTCACAAGCAGTTGGAAATAGGCTGGAGACGTGCTTTAATGCCCATGTTATAGGTCAGGAGACGGAAGCTTAGAGATGTGAAGCAACCTGAAAAGATTGCAGAGCCAGTAAGCAAGGTGCAGGACTCAGAGTGAATCCTTTGGGGCCCCGTCTGCATACCTTCTGGGACATTCATCCCTCCACCCTCTCCTGGGGAACTTGGTGACAGTCATGCTGGTCTGACCAGGTGCAGCTGGTGGCAGAGTCCAACGAAGGCCATCTGACCTGCTGGTGTCAGGGGGAAGACCCAGTTGTGAGTGACTGCCAGAGCATAGGAGCAGCGGTGGGTGGACAGAATCCCCAGGGTGGAGATCGGGGAGGGCTGTGTGGAGGGTGGCACCTGAGCCTGAAGAAGGGGGAGGGTTTGTGTGCAGAGATGAGACAAGGAATCCCAGTAAGGAAAACAAAGTGTGCCTGGCTCACGGAGTAGGAAGGTGGATGTGAAAATCAGGATGACAGGGACGAACAGCCAGAGATTGGACTTGGCTGCCAAAATGTGGAGTTTGCAAGGCCTTAGCAGGTGTGGTTTCCAGTACCATCTCATTTAGTCCTCAAGTAATCCTATGGGGTAGGTGCTATTTATTATTAAGTCTCCCTCAAAGATAGGGAAACTGAGGCACAAAGGCTTGAAGCAACTTGCCCAAGTTGCCACAGCAACAGAGAGGCTGGGAACCCAGCCAGTCCAGCACCCAGTGCTATCTACCCAGCCGCTTTGCCACACAGGCCCTCACCGTGGCCCGCTGCTCACTTCTGTTATCTCCAAGATTGCTGCTCGGTGGTGGGCGTGAATGTCAGGCTGCGGTCCTCGCCATCTCATCCAGGGACTTCCTGGTCTTCATCCAGGCCCGTCAGATTCCTCCCAGGCTCCCCCCACCTCCGGGAACAATGCTCTCCTTCTGCCACGCCGGCTCCCTCACACGCAGGTGTTTCCTTCCCAGCCAATGGCAGAAAGAGCAGAGGAAACAGGCCTGGCCCATCCACAGGGGACAGCAGAGAGTGAGGGTCATCTCCTCCCAGCACCGCGGGAATCTGGAAAGCCCAAGTGGGTCTCATGGGGTGAAGGGGCCCCCTCAGAACTCCAAGTGCTGCATTTCCACTCTTACTTCCCTCACTGTGAGTCCACCAATCACATGTGCCCGTGAAAGTCCAGCACCCTTGGGAGGAGAGGGAAATGGGTCAGTAAACAGGTGGACAGCAAATAGGTGGTGAAAGGTAGAGGTGTGGGCCTGGGAAACTGCTTCATCCCAGGTCTCAGTCCTGCAGAGGGGACCACAGGGAGGTCTTTGGGGTAGTTTCTGCCTGAGCAGCCTGCCCTTGGAGCCAGCAGTGGGGGTCTGCGGTGCTGCGGTGAATCAGGGGGTTGTCAGAAGCTGGGATCTCCATTGCTGAAGCACTGACCTTGAGCCAGGCCTCCTCAAATCCTCCTCTAAATCCTGCTTTTTTCAGGCCTTCCTCTGTCCAGAAAATCTTCCCCTTGTTAGCCTGTATCAACTGTGGGCAGCAGCAGCTGTGAACCGGCTCCCGCTGGCTTCTTCCAGCTGCGTCCCATAGAGCTACCTCTAGGGTTCTGTGGTCGGTCCTGGGGCCTATTTTACCCGCAGGCAGTGACCAGATGTGTGCTTGCACCCGCTGAAGGACTGTTCATTGCTATATTGAAGGACGGCTCTCTGAATCCCATTCATTTGTTCATTCTTTGTCTCCAATTTCACCTCCTATCAGGAACTGTGTGGGGGCTAAGATTTCACCCTCCTGGTAACTGGCAAGTTAGCCTGCCTTCGTTCCAGACATCCTGGTAGAAAACACATGACTCTAGAGAAAGGACATTACTCACAGCAAGCAACAGAAGTGTCATCCGATTGGTGCCCCTTGTTCCCCAAGTCCCATGGGGGCAGCGCAGAGGTGGACACAGGGAAGATGCTGCATCTCGGCCAAGGAACCCCAAACTCAGGCAACCCCTGTGTGCACAGTGGGCTGCAGGCAAACCTGCCCCCTTTGCCCTGGAAGAAGACATGGACTTATTATACCAGAGAGCAAATCAATCTGCCCTCTGCCCCCGAGGGAAACATCATCTCACTCTTCCAAAGCCCCCGAGGGAAACACCATCTCTCTCTTCCAAGGCTGTTCACAATACAAACCTTGGAGAGGTGACACAGAACAAAAGCTCACAAGGCGTGCACAGGCTCAAACCTAGGGAGAATTGTCTCCCAACACCCCCTACTGTCCTATCACTGTTGCACTGCAGTCACATTTTCCTTTAAAAACCTCAGACTCCTCTCACCTCAGCGCTTGGCCCAGGTTTCCTTACGATACTGTGTGGCTTGATCCCATGCCTCCTACAGTTTACTACTCAAATGTCACCTCCTCAATAAGACCTCCCTGGTTGCCTTCTTAAAAACTACACCCCCAACTCTGGAGCCCCACATTCCCCTTCTCAGCCTTATTCTTACAAGCACTGATCATGAGCTAATATATAATTTAATTATTGAGTTCATTGTCCCCTCCACCCTCACTATATACCCACTAGGGTGCAACCTTTAGGAGAGCAGGGGTTTTTTGTCTATTTTAAATTCCTGCCATATCCCCAGGACCTGGAAGAGTGTTTAACCTACAGAAGCGGCTCGATAAATATTCACTGAATGAATGAATCCATCCATTGATTAGGTCTGCAGTTGAAGACCTTGTTTTCCTGCCTCATGTCTGTAGGGCAGTGTCTGGCATACAGTGAGGCCCAGTGACTCTGTGAGTGAAGTCTCCAGGCAGCGCAGGGCGAGAGGCCACAGTGCTGTGACTGACCGTGACCGTGGAGCTTCTCCCAGGTGGCTGGGATTCAACCCTCGGGGATTCCATGTGCCTTCGCCAGCTGCTGGGAATCTTCCTGACTGGTGGCAGAAGCTGGTGTATTTCTTCCCTGTGATGTCACACTCTCACTGTGACCGGGGTCACAAGGAGAGGGGCATGTGAGCTGAGCGCTGAAGTGCCATTTCCACAGTCAGTAGCACGAGACCCACAGTGGGACATTGCAGGCAGGCTGTCCAAGATGGGGCCTAAGATCCCTAAGCACAGGTGGACAGGTGTCCGCTGTATGAGTGTGGCAGAGCGCAATGTCCCTCTCTCCACTGTCTCTGTGTCCCCCTTCCAGTGGGACTGCTGTCTCTTCCACTAGCATTCTGAGCATCCACATCATCTCTGTTTCCTCTGCCACTTGTTATCCCAGCAGTGCCCAATAGTCTTGCTTCTGCTCCCGAGCCTGAGAGCGGCTTGGGGACAGTGAGTCTGTCTTGTCTCCATATGTGTCTGACAATTGTTCCTACAATGGTAATGGGGACACGACAGTGAACCAAGCGGAGTCCTGCCCTCATGGAGACTGCATTCTAGCAGAGGCAACCAGACAATTAGCAAACATGGCACATACATCCAGTGCTAGAGAAGGAGAGAGGCGTACCATAATGTTTTGGGATAACTCACAGGGGCACCGTCCCAACACCCAGCTCATGTCAGGCATTCTGTCATCAATTCTTCTCTCTGAGACCTAGGACTGAGCCACAGTAAAGTTCATGGGTTGCCCCCTTGTCTGCCTCCAAGAGCTGGGCAGGGAGCATGGGTGATGCTGCAGGGAAGCTGACGGTGGTGGACGCAGGAGGGAGGAGGGCACGGAGGCCCCGGGAGCCTGTGGCTCTCTACAGGGGCAGCTGATTGTTGCCATGTGGAACTGTGGGCCTGGTATTGCCAGATGTTATATTCCAGTTATTCCTTTTAAGTAAAAGCTGGGACTCTTGATTTTTATGTGAAATATAACATTTTTAATGTTGGCTGCAGATTCAGTTTTCTAAAACTATGACTTCTTCTGGGGAAGGGAACTGATGGAACAGGGGCAGGTGGGAAGGATGCTTGCTTTTCACTGTATAGCCGTTTGGTCCTCTTAGATGTTTGCCACAGACATGGTTTCTAAAGTGAAACGTGAATTTTAGCAATATACCAGGGCATCTCCAGGTTCCCTGAGTGAATCTGTGAAACAGGTATGTTGTCAAATGTGTTGTGAACATCAGCATCAAGGCCCGTGGGAGAGCCATGGGCCGGGAGTGTGCCACACAGTGGTCTTTAAGAAGTCACAGACGGGTAGACCCCCCAGCTCGGGAGGGCAAGGACTGTGTTTTATTTATGTATCTCTAAACTGTCAGGCCTTGCACAATTTCTGCCACATGGATAGCATTCCATAGTTGCTCTTTGATTTACTCAGCTACTCAGTCACTCAAAATACTGCCAGGAAATAGGAAGAGAGCCAGAGGGCCTCTGAGCAGCCCAACTACATGTTCCAAGTCCACTGATGGTAGTTCTCATGCTCTTTCCATAGATCGGTTTCTCAGGCTTAGTTTCCATATTTTACGTACAGGATTATCCCCTGTGTTTCTCTGGCTTCCCAGCCTTTGGCCAACTGGTAATTGGGTGGAAGAGCAGAGATGGCTCCTCTGCCACCAACACCAAGGAGCCTCTGTTAAAATTAGAAAGAAGCACCCCCTCTGAGCAAATTGCAGCAAATGGCTCTTTGGACAAATGCATTGCACAGCCTCGCCCTCCCTGGCTGGGTAAATCACCAAAGGCCAGAGGAATGGTGGGCGAGACAGTAGCCCCCATTCACCCACTATGTGTAAAGTGCAAGATTT